ATTCACCACTTGATCACTCCTAAATTCTTGTGCATTTTTGCGGCGAGAAAATGGTGCCTTTGACTTTGTACACTCATCGGTCACTCAACTGCTCAAAGAAAATGAAATGATTCTACCCCATGCAGCACCCACCTGAACTTGGGCAGCGAATTTCGAGGCCGTTCGGTAAATCGATCGAACACCTAGCGGGCTGCGCCTGGAGAAGTAAGAGGACGTGAGCTGGTTAAATCATTCCATTAATGTCTTTCAATATATAGATACAAATATAGATTGTGGCAAAACATTTATCACTTGTCTTAAATAACTTAACAACCAAATGGGAATTCTAGATCAACTTAGTTAAAGCCTAAAATGACAAAATAACAGAAAAAGAGGAGCAAATATTCCGGCTACAAAATACAAAGGTTCCACCGTCCAACATCACCGAATTAACCTAGGATTTGAAATTTCTAATAACTCATAATAGCTACTAGTTGGCATTATAGACACACATATCTCCAGTTTGTTCATGCCATGTCACTCAATTAGTGAACCACACAAAAGGTTAAAATTTGAAACAACTCTACAAGATATATATTTCATAAAAATTGTATATCTTTAATTGCATTACATTCCAGGCATGGTGAAATGGGAGCTGCAGACCATCAACTATTTCAGCATAGGGTCCTGAATATGATCTGAACTAGCTCACTCATTATTTGCCACTTACAAATAACAAGGTTTCAATATGGTTGGTTGTTGGTATAGTGATCTGAACAATAAAAATCCATACCTTGACTCAAAAGTTCCTAATATTTTGAATCGAGCAGCCTGAACGTACTTTAAAACTGAAATTTAAAATTTTGAGCACAAAATATATGAATGTTAACTACTTTCATTCACACACCCAAAAACACATAGAACAATACTAAATCAACAACACCAACATTATTCAATCTTTTACCTATGAACTTCATAAGTTTAATTCCAAATACGTTTGCTAATCAAAATACCAAGGCATTACCCAAAATACACACAAATTCCAACAATTTATTTCCTCCTAAATATATATCTACAGACAAGCTGCATTTACAACTAATGAATAAGAGATACGAATAATAAATCATGAACCTTTAACACAACTCTTACCGTAACATTTTCTGGCGAGCCTAACACAGTCGAGCCAGAACCTGGGCATTGGGGTCCACCTCGATAACCACATCGAAGACGACATCTGAACCAAACCCCTGAATCTGGTTATCCTACCCCGTACCCTGGCCACAACACCCACCTGAACTCGAGCAGCGAATTTTGAGGCCGTTCGGGCAATCGATCGAACACCTGGCGGACTGCGCCTGGAGAAGTAAGACGTCGTTACGCGGTTGAGCCAGAGGATGCAGGGGATGCAACGGTGCTGTCGTCGATGACAAACTGGAAGAATTTGTCTGGTTTGAGTATGCGGTTCACGACGCACCCAACTGTTTCGGTCCGTGAAAGGGTTTTGCCGTTGATTGAGAACAAGGGCTACGGGTCTGTAGGTTTTTCCGTACCCAAAGCAAAGAAAGTCCACATTTTTCCCCTTCGGACAGCCCCCACTCTCCATCGAAAAGGAAAACCCATTTAGTCGCCTTCCATCAAACGCCACAGATATTCAGATCTATGGCGTCTTGCCGGAATTTTCGAGTTGGGATTGATTTTTGGAGATGTGGGGTTTGGAGCGCCAGACTTTTTTTCTCTTTTATTATGATTTTTTAGGAGGCGAGACACAAGAGAGATGACCGGAGACGAAGAGAGAGATGATCAGAGACGACAGAGCGAAGAGAGAGAGAGAGATGCGGACTGTGAGAGAGAGAGTGAAGAAAGAGAGAATAGTATTATCAGGTAAAATAAATTCAATAATAATAGTATTAGTATTTATATGGGGAGTTGAGAGGAAAGATAAATTTACATTAGGGAATGTAGAAGAAAATAAAATACACTAGGGACTGACAAGGAAGTTAAAATATGCATTGGGGATTTTAAAGGAATTAACCGTTAATTTAACTAGGGGTGATCTCAATATCCATCACTATATATTAATTCAAAACGCGTGTGTCAAATTCTCACGCTTCAAGTAGACATGGCCAGGTGCCGGCTTCTGGCCCGTCCCGGCCTGCCGGGTCACGGGCCAGCCAACACGCGGACCGCAACTGGCCCGCTAAAAATCAAGGGCCGGTTCTATGAACCGGCCTGAACTGCCGGTTTACCGGCCCGGCAGTTCACCCACGAGTACAGCCCTTGAAAAAACAAAGAATTTAGTCCGACCCGACCCGAACCGCCGGTACAAAAAAAGGGAGAACTATAACCGGCCCGCTGTGGGCCCGGTCCGGTTCACTAACCGGCCACTGTTCATGCCGGTGCCGGTGCCGGTTCAGGCCGGGCCGGTACCGGTTCACGGTTCGGGCCACGGGCCGATTCGGCCCGTGGCCATGTTGAGCTTCAAGTATTGATATGGTGAAAATATATGCTTCGTGACGTTGTTTATATTATTTCTAAGAGTCGGCCCGTGGCCATGTTGAGCTTCAAGTATTGATATGGTGAAAATATATGCTTCGTGACGTTGTTTATATTATTTCTGCTCTTAGTTATTAGACATAAATAATTTTTATCATATAATATTTCTTAACACGAACACCCGTGTAGACTTGTAGTTGCAGCTTCATCTCCTCCAACCTGCCCTTTTTCCTTTTGAAGAGAACAGAAAAAAGGAAAGAGGAAAATTAAGGCGTATACTCACAAACACACAGAGACGAAAAACAGAGCATTGGAAACCTCTCTCCTTTGAAATCCCCTCTCTCCCTTCATCTCTCTCTCTCTCTCTCTCTCTCTCTCTCTCTCTCTCTCTCTTTTGGGGTTTTCCTTTTTCCCCACACACACCTCTGTTTCACCCATCAATTTGAGAAAACCACGCCTAAAATTGCACTCAAATCTTCAGATATCCCCACATCTGTCTGCGCCCTCACTGCTTCCACTTTTCTCGGCACTCAATCATCACCCATAAACACTATTTTTCCACTCTTTCTCAAGCTATTTTTGCAGCGCGCTCTAATGTGCCGCCGTGGACCAACCACTGCCACAACTTTGTTTCGGCGCAGAGCCACTGACCGACGAGCTGCTAGCTAGCCAGATCTGAAGAGAAAAGGGAAGAAAAAGAGTAGATATGGTGGCCGAGACTTGGATTCTTCGGATGGGTAGTCAGGTGAGCACCAACTTAAAGCACGCTCTCAATCTCGATAGCTCGACGAAATTGATGAAGAAACAGGGCCCTCACGAGAAGCAAACCCTCGGGATACTCTGCTTCGAGGTCGCCAAGGTCATGTCCAAAATTATGAACCTGCACAAGTCCCTCTCCGACGTTGAGATTTTCAAGCTCAAAAACGACATATTGAAGTCCGATGGCGTGAAAGCCCTTGTGTCCGGTGACGAGAAGCAGCTTCTGGAGTTGGCCCTTTTCGAGAAGCTCGACGATTTGAACCGAATCGCGAGTGTCGTGTCGCGATTGGGTAAGAAATGCAGTATTCCGGCTCTGCAAGGGTTCGAGCACGTTTACGGGGATATAATTTCGGGTAACATCGACGTTAAAGAACTAGGCTTTCTTGTGAAAGACATGGAGGGGATGGTCCGGAAAATGGACAAGTACGTGACCCACACAGCGGGCCTTTACCGTGAATTGGAGGTCTTGAACGAGCTCGAGCAAGCCGCCAAGAAGTTTGCACAGAACCAGCACGAGGAGACCCGGAAGGCTCTCCAACAGAAGTTGGTATGGCAGAAAAATGATGTAAATCAATTGAAAGATGTTTCATTATGGAACTTGACATTTGATAAGGTGGTCGGGCTTTTGGCCCGAACGGTTTGCACGGTGTATGCCCGGATACATACCGTGTTTGGGGATGGCAGCTCACTTGGTGTGTCGGGTTTGAGGTTGCAGGCCAGTTTTGGCAGGAGCTCGAGGCAGAAATTGAGGCAGTTGGATGTGGCTGGCAACAGCAGTAGCGGTTACTATTATTCGGGCTTGATAGGGGACAAAGGGGGTGGGGGTGTTGAGAGGAAACCTGGTAGCTTTCGCCCCAAGTTTGGGCTGCAGAAGAGTGGAGGCGGCTTGTTTGGACCTGAAGACTTCAACTTTGCCTGCGGTCTCGGGCCGGGTCATCTTTTTATGGAATGCTTGAGCCTAAGCAGTTCTGGTTCGAAAGTCAACTATGATGATGATGACGATGACGGTGAAACTAGTGTTGCATATAGTCTCAAGAGTAACAGAGCAAGTTTATTTGATAGTTTTGTTACTAATGTAGAAAAGCATGGGCGTAATAATTTGCTGAAAACCGGGCTTCTCATTTTCGCGCCTGCTCATACAGTTGGGGGCTCCGCACTGGCCTTGCACTATGCCAATGTAATAATCATCATAGAGAAACTACTGCGGTACCCACACTTGGTGGGCGACGAGGCCCGAGACGACTTATACCAAATGCTCCCCACGAGCCTGAGAAAGACTCTGAAGGTCAAGTTAAAATCATACGTGAAAGATTTGGCCATTTTCGACGCGCACCTGGCCCACGACTGGAAGGAGAGGCTCGACGGGCTGCTCGGGTGGCTGGGCCCGCTGGCCCACAACATGATCAAGTGGCAGACGGAGCGGAATTTCGAGCAGCAGCAGATTGTGGCCCGGGCGAACGTGCTGTTGATCCAGACATTGTATTTTGCCGATCGGGAAAAGACGGAGGGCACCATTTGTGAGATTCTGGTGGGTTTGAACTATATATGTAGATATGAGCAACAGCAGAATGCGTTGCTGGACTGTGCTAGTAGCTTTGGGTTCGACGACTGCAGGGGGTGGGGATCGTGACTCTCGTGCGAAACTCGGTGGTTCGGTTTCTGTTATTGACTTTATGTTGTTTATTAGCTTTTTTGATTTGATGTGGTGTTTGGTGGCCAAGCTTTTTAGAGGCTTTCTGAATGTTGTGTGATGATAACGTAGTTGGTAGTTCTTTTGGACGAGTTTGGGGAATTTCGTGGCAGCCGGCTCAGTCCATATATGGGCTTTCTTTTAGCCCTTCATTTTACACACACGGGTGTGTGTGTGTGTGTGTGTATGTATGTGTGTGTAACTCAAGGGCTATGGCTAGAAAAAATGCCAGAAAAAAATGCTGCTTTGCTTGAAATGAAGAAAAATTGGACATAAAGTTTGACCTAATTTGATGTGGAGTTTAGTTACTGTGTGCATGTCCATGACCTAATTTGAGGGAGGTTGACAGTTATGCTTTGAAGGGTCTTATCACGAGCATGCCATTCTTGGTGGTATATCATTGCATTTGCAATTTTTATTTTTATTTTTTTTTTAAATATATAACAAGACAACATAATTCATTAATAAACACACAAATTTACAAGCGTTTAACTACTTGACTGAAGCAACTATAAAATTGAGTTCAGAGAGGCCTGTATGACAAGTGTAACCTACAATCTAGTACACTAAACAACACGCAAACTATATAATCTACGGTCCGACAAGTGGTGAACTCTAATTTCAATAATGGAGAAGAGTTTAAGTGGAAAATTCTAATTTCAATAATGGAGAATAAAACTCTAAAACAAAATACAAACGCACACTAAGTAAAAACACTAACCACTAGCAAAACTAGAATAACACCCTCCCTTGCTCATAAGCCGCTCCGCAACAACACCACAGGACCGACACCTGGAGGCTTCCACCAACACAGACAGAACCCCGACCCAAGTAGCTGATCCAAAAATTTCAGTACACCTATGGGCAACTGGACTCGGACAAACTGGACAAACATCATATTTTAGACGGAAACCCTTAGACCCATAACCAGCGGCCCACACCTACCTCCACCCCCAACCCATCAGCCACCTCGGGCCCAGACCAAGACCAGAGCCACAACCCACACCAACCCACACCTGTCGACGCAATCTGTCTACCCAGCACCAGATAAGATTAGAAAACATGGAAGAGGAGGACCCCGACCTCAACCTCGACCACCGCACAGAGGCAATCGGAGCTACGACTCGATCTCGCCGCAGAAGCGCCGAGACCCCGCACCAAGACCTCTGCTATAGCCAACCGCAACAAACGACGAAACACTACTTCGAGGAGGGGTGCGACGAAATTCCGAGAGTCACGCTGCACTACCCGGTGATGGACGACGCCGTGACGGCATAGAGGAACCGTCTGAGGGGAGACGCCGAGAAAAATCCAAGATGAGTGTTTTTGGAAGTAATGGTTTGGGGAAAAATCGCCGAGGAGAGTGTTTTTTTTTTTCTCTTTTTTTTTTAAAAAAAACCATTATTGTTAGCTACGTCATTATCAAGCTTTTGCTAACAATTGTGTATGATTTTTTCCCTTTAATTTTTTTTTTCAGAATTATTGATATACTAATAAAAAGTAAAAAGTAAAAACACATATTTATAACTGACTAACTAGACGAATGAACCAACTACATAGTTGAATTCAGATTGGAGGACATTCTCAAGGGAAGTCTAAACTACCACAAACACATCCACAATAGTAATAACAATATTAATAATACTCCCACTAGTGTAGAGTACCACTCTTACAATGGAGATTAACACCCAAAAGACTCGAAGAAAAACAATATATAACACACACTAACTACAAACTAGCATAACTAGAATACCGCCATACCCACCATTGGCCAACCACATCGAATTTCCACTTGAAACACCGAAGGCGACCACCCAAGTACAACTCAAGACACGAATTAGAAACTCCCTACGAGCACTGGCTAACTAGATCCGGACCGACAACCAGCTAATCACCACTTGAAGAAACATATAGATTCGGACCTTGCAGAGGAGAAAAGTCTAATGCCATATCCAGACTGGAGGAGAGGGATGGACAGGTGAGAAAATCTAAGGAGGAGATTGTGGATAGCATTTTGGGGTTCTATGAATTTCTGTTCACATCAGAAGGGTCTTGGGG